CACCGGACTGAGTCCAGTACAGCTAGATGGTGCCCGGCTACCACCACTGACTGCTCTGACAGGGATCACAACAGAGGGTCCTGGACAGAGCTGGAGAAGGATGTAGAACGAAATTCTATCTCATTAAAAAAAAGACCAGATTTACTGGCCTGATGGACCAGAGAAACCCCGAGAGTATGGCCCCTGGACACCCCTTTTAGCTCAGTGGTGAAGTCACTCCCAAAGCTCACCGTTTAGCTGGGGATTGGACAGCCTCATAAAACAAAACGGGACTAATGAGGCACAGCAGTCCAGGGACAAGGACTAGAAGGCACGAGGGGACAGGAGAGCTGGTAATAGGGAACCCAAAGTTGAGAAGGGACAGTGTTGACACGTCATGGGGTTGTTAACCACTGTCATAGGGCAATATGTGTACTAACTGCTTAATGAGAAACTATTTGTTCTGCAAACCTTCATCCAAGGTATGAAAAAAAAATTATCTATGTGAGATCAAACTGACAACAGCAACTCAAAAGGTTTGATGGGAAGCCTAGGGGGCAGTGAATTGAAGATAATTGTGATGGAATAATTTGGAAAAGGATAGTGAGAATAGCAGCACAACTGGAAGAATGTAATCAATGTCACTAAATTGTACATGTAGAAACTTCTAAAATGGTGTAACTTTGGCTATGTATATTTTCACCAAGAAAAAGGTCCTCCAAGGTTGAGAAGGGAGAGTGTTGACATGTCGTGGGGTTGTTGACCAATGTCATAAAACAATATGTGCACTGACTATTTAATGAGAAATTATTTGTTCTGTAAACCTTCATCTAAAGTACAGTAAAAAAAATTTAAAAGAAGAATTATGTTGGCTGTTGGTTTTGTACAGATGCCCTTTATTATGGTAAGGAATTTCCCTTCTATACCTATTTTATTGAGAATTTTTATCAGGAAATGGTGTTCAACTTTGTTGAATGTCTTTTCTGTGTTGATTGAGATGATCATGTGATTCTTTTATTTATGTGGTGGATCATGTTGATTGATTTTCTAATGTTGAACCATCCTTGCATACCTGGTGTCATGGATTGAATTACGTCCCCCAGAAAATGTCTGTATCAATTTGGCTGGGTCATGATTCCCAGTACTGTATGATTGTGTACCATTTTGTAATCTGATGTGATTTCCTTATGCGTAGTAAATTCAATCACTATGATCTAATAAGATGGATTAGTGGCAGTTATTCTGATGAGGTTTATAAGATTAGACAGTGTCTTAAGCCAATCTCTTTTGAGATATAAAAGAGAGAATCGAACAGAGACACATGGGAACTTCATACCACCAAGAAAGCAGTGCCAGGAGCAGAGCGCATCCTTTGGACCTAAAGTTCCTGCGCAGAGAAGCTCCTAGACCAAGGGAAGATTGATGATACAGACCTTCCTCCGGAACAGACAGAGAAAGCCTTATCCTGGAGCTGATGCCCTGAATTTGGACTTGTAGCCCACTAGACTGTGAGAGAATAAATTTGTCTTTGTTAAAGCCAGAAAAAAAAAAAAAAATTGGGATTGCCTTTCCGGAAGCCCTCAGAAATGCTGTTGAGGCAAATGGAGAAACACTGTAGAGAAATAAGGTTACCCTAGCTATTCCACAAACTAGGTGAGAGAGGAGACTTAATAAGCCTCCCTTTCAGTACCAAGAAGGGAGAGGAGGGCTCCAGCAGAACTTCTGATGACTCTGAAATAAGCTGGTCTCGATCTCTGGATCAGGGGCCAAATATCAGCAAAAGTTTTGTGTGTGTGTGGTTTTTTGTGTTTCTTCTTTTGAAGATAGTCTGAGCTGTATTTGCTATTTCTGTTTGCCCTGTAGGCTGAGCTGCTCGTAGCCTCCAGCAAGAAAACACTGGAAACAAAAAACACTGAACCTGTAAGCAGCAAGAAAGGGGTGAGCTGTGAAACTGGCCTCCTCAACTGCACCACAGGCCTCAGGAGAAGCAGTGGGTGGAAGAGATTTGAAGAAAAGGGAATCAAGCAGAATCAAAAGTGGATGGCTTGGGCCTGAGGAAAAATCTCAGGGACCTAACAGTTCCCCAGCAAGAAACAAAACAGCCACAGAACAGCTATTCAAGAACTCTATTGAAATGCACTGGCACAAAACATGTCAGCTTAAATTTACGTTGCAGACTTCCCTGAGAATGCACTCATAGTTTTACGTCCCGGGTATTCTTCCCAACACTATTCGGAAATGTGGACCCAGTTGCATCTGCCATCTCAAAACAGTGCTTACCTTTCTTAAGAATCTTCTTCACTTTCACATAGTTCCCTTCTTTCACATACTCATGAAGCTGAGCTTCCAGGGAGTCATTTCTTAAGGTTCCAAGCTGAACAGGACAGGGGACTGGAAGATGGACAGGCCGAGACATCCTGTTTCCAAAGGAGAGCAGCATGCTTATTCTAATTGAACCAGAAATGCAGGGAAGCAATTTAGGTTTTTTTTCACATTTGGAAACCAGTCCACGTTCATTTATAATTAAGAGGACTAGGGGAACAATTACTGAAACTCTACAAAATTAATGTTTATCCTCCATGTATTGTTGAAACTGAAGAATTGAATATATTTATGATCAAGTCCCGGGCCTGAAAAAGAGGTGACTACTAGGAAATAAAATTAGAAACACAGTACACACATTTGTTGTGTCATTGAGGTAATTAGGAAGCAATGACTGTGAAAGGTTAGTATACAAATGCAGTCATTACGCGAAGTGTAGATAGCATAATAAAGTGGGTTAGGTTTGCAATTCTGACTCCGCAGTTCCTATCCTGGTTCTTGAAATTATTCAGCCTCCCTTTCTTCATCTGTATAATGGGGATAATAACAACCAGGGGGTTGCTGAGAGGTTTAAAAGAGTGAATATGTATAAAGTGCTCAGAACTGCGCCCGTCACTGAGCCAGCTCTCTGAAGCTGTGAGCTGTTACTATGCCTGGTAAAAACCATCTAGAGAAGTTTTAACTTTCCACATGTGGCATCCACACCTGACCATCATACAATTACATGTTCACAGTATCCCTACCACGTGTCCTAAATGTGGCAGGTGTTGTGTAAGACACCTAGAATCAAATTGCTGCTATCACAATGCTCACTGTCTAGCAGGGCAGACAAGTGGTACCATGTTGGTGCCCCATAAACAGTAGGTAAGAGGAGGATGATGCTTCATCTATCTACCAGAATCAGCAAGCATGCGTATCAGGGCCTGAGTGCTACCTGGAGAAGCACAAAGGGTATGACAGGAGTTGACGTGAATGAAAAAAACAAAAACCGACACTAACTTTGCCTGCCAGGAGGCTTAACGGATTGTAGGTTACTGAGAGGTAACACCTTAATTTACCTACTGATAAAATGTGGAAAGTGCTGATAAGTTAGTGCTTTTACTTTATTTCCTTTGATATTTGTCAATATCCATGTCAGGGACCACAAACAGTATCCTAGCAATCCAATAACATGGCAGTGTTCTTAAGCAAACAAAAGTGACTCAGAAAACAGTTTCATTTTAAATAAACTGGAACTTTTATAGTAATTTGTCACCTTTTCTCCACCAATTCAGCCTTCTATTTCCAGGCATAAAAAAGAGTGGTATATTTTCATTATAATTTGGACAGTTATTTAATAAAAGTAAGCTAATTTTATAGGAAAATGCATAAGGTTTTATTTAACTTCACTTAAATACATGGGACAATTTCAACAATTATAAAAAAGAATGTGAAAAATATTCTTGAAATCGGGGTCTCCACTTTACCCACCCATTCAACGGCCTGCACTGAGAGCATGCTGGTATGCTAGTCAGTTCAGACCAGCGACCCTGTACACAATAAAATGAAATGCTCTCCCGTCCTGGCACCATCTTAACAATTATTGCTATAATTGCATGCATTTTGCAGGTACTGTGTCAATTCACCCACCTAAGGGTCCTTTCCCTCATTTTTCCCCTTTACTCTACCAAACAATGGTTCTTTTCTAGCAGTCAATCTTCCCTCATACCCAACATACTTGACTTCAAAACAAACTTCTGGTTACACTCATCTCAAAAATAGATTTTATTTAAGAGAAAACTGCACAGATAACAAATAAAGTACTACACAACACTAAACGTATTTTATACTAATACTACATATCTGCTTTTGGAAAAACCAACTTATCAGGGGAAAGTGCAAACGCAGGCCCCCACTACCACAAATTATGCAGTCAACTTTCCCACATTTGGGGAAATCGCAGGCGTCAGTACATGCCAAATACAATGGACAAGCCTCACCCTAGAAAAACCACTTTCACGATCATACTATCTCTCTTACCAGGTAAATAGCTAACAGCCTTGCCTGTTCGCTAACCCTTGTCCTCAACACTCTGTTTAGTCATGGTGAATTATATTTTGAGTTCTCTGGGCCTTCAATTCGAAACTACATTGTTCCTCATATGATAAAGATCAGACTACCTCCTTTAGATATTCACTGGAGACAGGGCTATTTCTGTCCAGCGAAGAAACTACCCGAACCAGCTGTCACCGGGCCCCTCATCTACATGTCACCGCCTCTTGCAGGGACGTCGCGGGCCTCCCCGCGGCCTTTTGCTTTTCGTGGGTCGCTTCCGGATGAGTTCGCTCTTAGCTACACCTGGGGACGATCTGAAAGACGCGTTATCGGCAGTTGTGGCTCAAGAGATTTAAGAATTCCTAGCTTTTTCGGGCACATGTAAAGGTCCTGACGTGGATTTGTAACAACCGAATCTGAATCCTCCGCTGCATGGCAGAGTAGTTTGGGAGACGGTGGCGTGCGGGGTGGCAGAAGTGAAGGCAGCAGAGTTGGTTATGCCTGGTCTGAATCACTGCTCCATTCTGGGACTTGGTCTAACCTACGATCTCTGTTTCCGTTTCCTAAATTGTAAAATAGTAATAATACTGCCTCCCTACCTCACAAGTTTCTGGGAGGGCTGAATAAAAGAATGCGTGTAAAATGCTTCGCGAGCCCTCCAGGTCATTCGGCTCCTAGGCTTGTTTCCCCGGACGTGTGCCCCTTGTAGTTGGTGCCGCCAAACCGGCTTCACCAAGTTTCGTATCTCTCTCTGCAGGCTCCGGCGCAAAGGGAAGAAGCATCTGGCCTGACAAAAAACATCCCTGTTAACAAACCAAGTGCTTGTCCCTTCTTTTTACAAACAAGAATACATGACATTGTGTTTTCCTTTCTGCCCTTGCTGGCTAGGCGCTCTGGGCAAAAAAAAGAAAATTGTTTGCAGCAACTATAGTCTCAGACTTTGATGCTATCTCCCTCTTAGTCTACGTGATTTCTTTAAAAGCTTTATCTTGCTTTATACTTTGGAGGTTACTTTTAATTATGAAGTGCTAAAAAAAAAAAAAAAAAGCCCTTGGAGACAATTTGGGAAATACAGAAAAGTACAAAAAACAAAATTAAAATCAAGCAAAATCCTGTGGGGAAATATGCCATTTAAACATGGCCTACACTATTGACAACTTCAGCCCCTCAAAGGCCTCTATGCTGCACAGGACATGTTGAGACTTGTCAGCGATGAGGAGGAGTTTAGGCACGACTTGTTTTCCCAAACCTATTGTCCTGTTACTGATTGGCTTGTTTACCCGAATTCCTTCTCCCTTGCCCGAAACTTATTGTTATTCACCCAAAGCCCATTGTTCTGTTATTTGCTTCACTGCTTGCTGTATTGACTATAAATAAACTCCTGGGACTGAAGCCGGGGTCGACTCCTCAGAGTGACCCTCCTGGCCCCACTTCTCTGTAAGAGTTGTGTTTGGTTACTGTCTCCGCCGTCCCGACATTTCGCCGCCGCTGCAACAAAATCCCAGTACAGAATGACCACTGTTAACACTTCAATGTTATATATGGTAATTCCAATTCTTTATGCATACGTACATTTTAATAGGATTATACTTCACATGCTGTCTTTCCATCAGCTTTGGTATGTACTGGGCCATGTTGCTGTTGTTGTTAGGTGCCTTCTAGTTGATTTTGACTCACAGCGATCGGATGTGACAGAGTAGCACTGCTCCATAGTTTTCTAGGCTGTAATTTTAAAGGAGCAGATCGCCAGGTCTTTCTCCCACAGAGCTCCTGGGTGGGTTTGAACCTCCAACCTTTCAGTTAGCCACCAAGCTTAACTGTTGAGCCACCAGGGCTCCTTAGATGATAAATATTTTTAAGTTCTTTAGAGATCACTTTTCTCTGATTCCTTTCATCTTACAGTCTCCAAAATCTAGATGTCTTTCTAAAGTCTGGATTCACAGTTAATTTTAAGAACTTCGACTTTGTTAAGAATGAGAGAACAAAACAAAACAAAAAAACATTGCCGATGAGTCGATTCCGACACACAGCCACCACACAGGGTGGAGGAGAACTGCCCCATAGGGTTTCCAAGACTAATCTTTACGGAAGCAGACTCACATCTTTCTCCCTTGGAGCAGCTGGTGGGATCAAAATGCTGACCTTTCGGGTTAGCAGCCTAGCACCTAACCACTGTGCCACCGGTGCTCTGAGAATGAGAGAGAAACCTAAATCGTTTATACAATGTTGGATGCAAACAAAGCAGTATGTAAAATTGAATGTACAGTATAATTACAATTATTTTTTTAAACGGTAAAGTTTAAAAGACTTAAAGGAAATACACCAAAATGTCAACTAATCATTATTATGCTAGTGTCAATATAGAACTATGCACTGTTTTCCCCTAAATATTCTGTAACATGGCTATAATATTACTCATAATGAAAAAAATTTAATCCTAATTATATGCATATAGTGTCAAGAAATGTTCACACCTTTTGACCTAGTAACTTCTTTCAATTTACCTAAAGAAAGTAATCCTAGAGAAAGACGATGTCCTATGCACAATGGTGTTCATCACAGATTTACTTATAATGGGAAACAACAAAAATCCTAGGTATCAAAACAATAGTGAAATGGAGTATTATGCAAACATAATAGTAATATAATAATGATTAACCATATGAATAATTGTATTATTTAATGTTAAAAAGGATACGAAATGGGATGTATAGCATGATTGCAGTTTGGTAAAAATGCAAGAAAAGCTGCTGGAAAGAAATGCACTGAAATGATAAACGTTACTGGTTGTGAGATACACATAACATTATCAGACTGCTTTTTCTTCATAATAAGGAGATCAAATCTGGGAGTATTTTGCACAGTATTTAAAGATTTTTGAACATGGAGTACTACTTAGGTTCAAATCATGATTTTTCCATATTTTAGCTGTCTGTGTTTGATTGGAACCCTGGTGGCACAGGAGTTAAGAGGTCGTCTGCAAACCAAAAGGTCAGCAGTTCGAATCCACCAGCTGCTCCTTAGAAACCTTACAGGGCAGTTCTACTCTGTCCTATGGGGTCACTATGAGTCAGAATCGACCTAATGGCAGTGGATTTTTCTGGAGTCCTGGGGGTGCAGTGGTTAAGAGCTACTGCTGCTAACCAAAATGTGAGCAGTTTGAATCCACCAGCCGCTCCTTGGAAATCCTATGGGACAGCTCTGCTCTGTCCTATAGGGTTGCCATGAGTTGGAATTGACTTGAAGGCAACAGGTTTAACAGGTGCTTGATTATACTCTAGGGATGATGATGATAATTATTAGTAATAATTATAGTGGATATACACATATATTCATATATGTGTATACACAAATAAAGGTAACATGTATACTTGGTAATTTCTAAAAGTTGAGTTTCGCTATGTAAGTTCATAAAGCAGCTATGACTGTCAAGAAGTCCATGATGTCAACACAACTGAATCTAAATGTCCCCTGCCAGGAAAGTGAAGTCCCTGGTCTGAACCCATTCAGTCACTCCTGATACACACTGGCGCTGGCCCTGCATTTCTCAGCCTCGCGTCTCGCAATAAACACAGTAATTCTATTTAGACATCTGCTAGTACTTTCATCCAGACAGTGTGACCCAGCCCACCTCAGTTATGGTACAACATCTCATTATTGAACTACCTTCCTAATTTTGCTTCAAGAGGTGTGTCTTCACAGGAGGAAGATTATACTCTGGCTTCTTCTGTGGTATCCAAGAATGCCAAGGGGCCACAGCTCTGAGGACTCTATGACTATCTGCATCCTCCTTAGCTTTGATTTCAAAGGTACTTGCAGGCACTTTTTGCTATGTTTGGGAAGCTCCATTTCTAACGAATACATTGCCTACTCCAGTATTTTCTGAATTCAAAAAGTATCCTTGAGATTCTATGAGTACTGCGGGGAATATAATGATGAAAAAATACCCATTCTCAAGTCCTTACTTATATCGTATGTACTACATACTTCTCATTCACTCACAACCACTTAAGCTTTTAACATACCAGTCACTATTCTAGGCACTGGGGATACTAACAGGAATAATGGGGAGATGGGTTTTGCCTGCAATAAATGAGATCACAGTCTGTAGGGGAATGAGACCTGCCTAGAACTATAAGAAAAGAGCGTGAGTACTAATATAAGGGGTAAGAACTAGGTTCAATTAAGACCACATTATGGCTTTTGAGGGCCCTACACACTTTTGCCTTCATGGGACCCGGCACCTCTCTCCATTTAAAAAATATTGAAATTATATTTTACAACTGCATTGCTGAAAACATGGCTATATTTTGTTTATTTGGTTTCAGTTCAGGGCTAAATAAACATTAAAACATTTTCTTCAATCTAAAAGTTAATAATTTTTCTTCTGATTTTTAAAGGCTGAAATATGCTCATGGGCCCCTAAAAGTACCATGGGCCTAGGCACTGTGCCTACTGTGCCTAACGGGTAAGTCGGCATTGGGTTCAGTGGCTATTTGGGTGAATCCCAGGTGGCTACACAAAAGGAAGAATTGAACTGAAGTATGTGTTTTCCAGGCAGTTGAGGAAGGGCAAGGCATTGTGGGCAGAGTATGTGAGTTTGTGGAAGTAACACAGCAGGGCCTTCTGAAAACTTATTAAAATAAGTGAGCAGTAAGAGGTAAAGTTAAAGAGCCCTGCTGGTGCAATGGTTAAGAGCTGGACTGCTAACCAAAGGTCAGCAATTTGAACCCACCAGCTGCTCTGTGGGAGAGAAGACCTGGCAATCTGCTCCCTTAAAGTTTACAGCCTAGGAAACTCTATGGGGCAGTTCTACTCTGCATACAGGGTCACTATGAGTCAGAATCGACTTAATGACACACAACAACAAGAGGTTAAGTTGGAGCAGCTGTCCAACAGAATATAATGTGAGCCACGTATTTAATTTAAATTTTTCTAGGAGCCACAATTAAAAAAGTAAAAAAAAAAAAGCTGAAATTAATTTTAACAAAATGGT